AAAATTATGATAAATCTCAATCATTAAAAATAAAAAAATAAATAATTAAAATTTTATATAAATAAAATATATAAAATTTACATATAAATAAATATTTTTTATTATAAAATTTATTAACTTCCTCTACAATAATTTTTAAATTTTCAATAAAAATCTAAAGTAGTAGTCAGCTGCAGTGCACGTGATCTGAGCAAGAATGCCACATCATCCGGTAGGCCCATCCAAAACGTGTCTAGTCCAATGACAGAACAGAACAGCACCCCAGTCACACTCACAAAGAACCCCGACGGTCCCACCAAAACTAAACTGAAACTGCAGGAACGACTAGCAGCGGTAGAAAACCCGGCCGAACCCCGACAACGGATTCAGATTTGGTCGCTGAAAAGGGAGAAGAAGAAGAAGAAGAAGAGGAAGAAAAAGGGAGAAATGCATTCTTTTGGGTACAGATTTAATGCTTTGTTAACGTTCGCCGTCACGATTCTGGCGCTCATGTGCGCCATTGCCTCTCTCTCCGACAACCTCAATATTCCTTCTCCTTCCGCCGAAATCCAGGTTCTAATATATACCCACATGCCCATGTTTCTGTTTATACTTAGATCGGGGTTTCATTTTCATTTTATTTTTCTAGTTTAGAATACCCGATTGACTATTATTTTTTTTTATCATGGTTTTTGTTTTCTGGGTGTGATTTTAGATAGTGAATATCAATTGGTTCCAGAAGCATCGGCAGGGGAATGATGAGGTGATTTTTCCAATTCTTTTTTTCTTTTTTTCTGTCAAATTTAATTTTTTTTAGACATTTGTGATATATGAAATGAGAAAAGTATCTTAATTTTTAATATCATTAAGCGGATTTTATTCGTCAGGCCCTTTTTTTTTTTTTACGTCGGATGATGGGCGATATACACTAGGAGAGTCCTCCGCTTCCCAAACCCATCTCCACCTCTCAAGATTTGAACTTGAGATTTAAAATGTGGAGGTTAAAGTTCTTAACTGCTTGAACGTAACTAGGGAACGAATTCATCAAGCTTCTGGTGCCCAGTGAAGTCAGGAAATTGGGTTCCTGTGAAATTGGAGTTGGAGAATTTCCTTTTTGTGATTTTAGATTTTCACCTTTCCTGCTTTATATTCTTCTCTTTTAGTAAAGAATTGCTTGATTGTTTGTAGTTGATTCTGGTGATGGTTTAGTGATGTTTCTTTGACATGAGAAATAGGTCAAACACCTAATGAGATGGATTGCAGTTATGCTAAGAGTATAATGTTGGTTTAAGATTTTCTGAGATGTAAAATTTGTCTTTGATATGCCCTTACGTCAAGGGGACCTGCTGCTTTTGTATTGTGGCTTTTTAAATCATTGCTAGAACTAGAACTAGAACTAGAACTAGAACTGATAATAAACATTTGATTAGACAGATTTTATATTTGTGCAATGTTATGTGATAAAATTCATTGTTGAAGAGTGGGTCTTGCTTTTCTCAAACAAGTCAATAAACTCATTTGGTATGCGTTTACATTTTTAGCATGCTGTGTATTGTTATAATAATTATATATGTTACTGATTACTTCAAGGATTTTATTCTGTGGTTTCAAGAAGTTAGTATCTAATGATGGATACTTTTTGTAAATGGGAGTCCTAATGATGCATTGCTAAATTAACTTTTTCTGTTCTTTTCAAACCTGCAACTCCATGTTGTCTTCTATGTGGGCATTTTTTTTCATGGACATGAAAATAAATGTTCCTAATATTCAACATATGATTTGGAAAGAATTAAACCAAATGTCAGTAAGCCTTTTTATATTGTGCGTTGTTTCTTATTTTAATTAATTATGTGATAAAAATTTAAAGAACCACTTTTCCAGAACTAGAAGAAAGTAGTTAAGAATGCTGGTCCTGTGACTTGTAGTGAAGACTATAAGTTTAACACAGATATTTGGATTGGTGGGGCTTTTGCCCCATTCATGTCCTGTTTTTGTTATTAAATTTACTGTATTAATCATCTTCTGTTACTGCCATAGTATGCAGCATTTATTCTGAATCCCATATTGTGTAACTACACTGCTAGTTCTTGGTGCAATTCTAAGTAAATGCTTATTACTTTACGTAGGTCAGCCTGACAATGAATATCTCAGCCGACCTACAGTCATTGTTTACTTGGAATACAAAACAGGTTTGCCACGTTACATATCCTCATATTCCTCTCTATTTAATATAGCATTATGTTATTTGCTATTATTTTCTTTGAACCAATATTCAATTGTATGTTGGCCTGTGAAATGGTTCTACTACAAGTGGCCGTGAGAAACATTCATTCTGATCTTATTTGAATCCCCTTTTTAGTGTTCTATCTTCTCTTTTCATCCTTCTGTATTTTAAACTGTCATATTATTGATTAGAATTCAGTTTTGGAGTGATAAATTCTTAGACTTCACTCTTGTTGCCAACACTTCACATGGAACTATTATTTTTTTTTTCGTACATCATGGAACTATTATTGGTCACCAGTAACCAGGAAGCTAATTGACAAAAAAAACTGACAATCAATTTGGTAATCATTGCAGGTTTTCGTATTTGTAGCAGCTGAGTATGAAACCACAAAGAACTCCCTGAACCAAGTAAGCTTGGATTCATCTCAGACCATGTATCTTTTTATTCTTTTGAGTTCTTTTGATTGTATTTTGATGCTTCGTGCTTTATGTACTGCATAACTTGTTCAAGGTAACTACTTATGAAATCCTGAAAGAGTTTATGGGTTTGAGTCCTTGGCAGAAAACTGTATTTATGATCCTATTATTACTAAAATTAAATTTTCCAGATTTCACTTTGGGATGCTATAATACAAGCGAGAGAAGATGCCAGGTTTTGGATTCACACCTCAAACAAATATCGATTTGTTGACCAGGTATTCCCATCATCATCATCATGATCACCCTCTTGTTCTTGTTAATCTCTGTACTTGAGATTTACAAGTTGACTGTTTTGTTTATATTCTTCCCTTGTTCAGGGAATTTATCTCCGGGGCAAAGAATTCAACTTGACGTTGCATTGGCACGTCATGCGAAAGACTGGCAAGATGTCTGCCGACAAGATTGTCATGTCAGGATACCGGTTCCCTGAGGAATATAGATGATGCGGGTTTCATAGGTATATTTTCACGCTGTAACTTTAACCTTCCCTTTTGATGTTGGGTATTACTGTTAAAGGTCAGCTGTATTAGAGAATTAACACAATTTCATGCTTGAGAAAGTGAGAAAATGAATATTGCTGAACTTTTCCAAACCTTCCTTTTTCTTGATCTTTAGATTGTCAGTAAGATAGGAAATTACTCGGAACACAATCATTCAATGTTAAAGACATGTAGAAAAGCTACTAGTTTTCTTTTGAACAATTTTATGTTATTCTTGAAGGAATTAAAAGATTAGTATATGATGGGATCTTAAATACTTTTGATTTCACTAATTTCGAAACTTGTTTGAATTATATAGAAGGTAAACAGACCAACAAGTCCACTAGAAATGCCAAAAGAGTATGGAAGTTTTAGAGATCACGCACGGATTTTTGTAGACTATTTTTAACTACCTGTTTTAATGGTCGTAGATATTTTATATTATTTATAGATAACCATATAGGGTTTATGTATCTCTACCTTTTATGTGACAAAGTTGAAGTTTTGGATGCATTTAAACAATATAAAAGTAGATGTAGAAAAACAAAAGGAAAAGAAGATCAAAATTGTAAGATTTGATAGCGGTGGGGAATACTAAGGAAGACACAGAAAAAGGACAAATGGCAAGTCCATTTGCTAAGTTCCTAGCAGAAGAAGGTATTGTTGCTCAATATACAATGCCTAGAACACCTTAACAAAATGGGGTTGCAAAAAGAAGGAACAACATGCTTATGGATATGGGAAGAAGCATGATTAGTTACACTAATCTGCCTTTATCTCTTTGGAGTGAAGTCTTAAAGATTGTAGTGTATATTTTAAATCAAGTTCCTCTATCTAAAGCTGCTCCAAAAACTCCTTTTGAGTTGTGGATAGGATGGAAACCAAGTTAAAATCATAGACAAGTTTAGGGTTGTCTGATAGAAGTGAGGACAAATTGTGGTAATTTTATTGGCTATGTAGTTAACTCCAAAGGATAAAGATTCTATTGTTCATCTCACACACCTAGAATTGATGAAGCTATAAATCCAACATTTCTTGAGGATCCTATACTTAGTGGGAATTTTTTGAAGAAAAGGATAAAATTGATGTATCCACAAGTAGTAATCAATTAGTTCACTTTCAGAGTGAACAACCATGCCATGTGGAAGAACAACTTATTGAATAACAACTCCATAAAAAGCAAGTTCATGAAGAAACAAGTATCCAAAATCAAAATGGATACCATGGCAATAAGGAGATCTTCAAGACAGAGGAAACCAACAATCTCTAATGATTGTATTGTATACTTGTAAGAGTCTGATTTTCATATTGGGCCTAAAAACAATCCTAGCTTATTTTTGGAAGCCATGAATGGTGAAAACTCATCACTTTGGTATGATGCCATCAAAGAAGAGATCGAATCTATGGCGAAAAATCAAATATGGGAACTTGTTGAATTACCAAAGGGATCAAGAACCATTAGTTGTAAATGGGTCTATAAGACTAAAAAGGATGCTTTTGGTAATATTGAACAATATAAAGGCCATCTTATGGTAAAAAGTTACACTCAAGAGGAAGGCATTGATTACCATGAAACCTTCTCTCAAGTTTTTAAGAAGGATTCATTTAGAATAATCATGACTCTTGTAGCTCATTTCAATTTTGAGTTACATTAAATAGACATAAAGATTCCTTTTTTAAATCGGGATCTTGATGAACAAGTATACATGAATTAACTTGTAGGTTTTGGAAAGGAAAATCATTTGCTTTGCAAGTTAAAGAAATTTATCTATGGTTTGAAACAAGTTTCGGCCAATGGTATACTAAATTCCACAATGTTATTATCTCTTTTGGTTTTATAGAAAATATTGTGATCAATGTATATATCAAAAGATCAGTGGCACTAAAGTCATTTCCTTGTTTTTATATGTGGATGATATTTTGCTTGCAAATAGTGACATGGACTTTTTGCATGAAACAAAACAATTTCTTTCACAAAATTTTGAAATGAAAGATTTGGGAGTTGCGTCCTATGGCATTGGCATAGAAATTCATAAAGATAGATCACAAAGAAATTTTGGTCTATCTCAAAAGGTTTACATTAAGAAAATATTCAAAAGATTTAGGATGCCAAATTATTCTCATATAAAGGCACTCATTATGAAAGGGGACAAGTTTAGTAAACTTCAATGTCCATAAAATGAGTTGCAAAAGGAACAAATGAAAAACATTCCACATCAATCTGTAATGGGAAGCTTGATATATGCACAAGTTTGCACCATACTAGATATTGCATTTGTAGTTAGAATGTTATGGAAATATAAAAGCAATCCAAGAATTGAGCATTGGAAAGTTGCCAAGAAGGTCTTATGATATCACTATAAGAAAATCCACATTTAGTGACTAAATTATTAATCATTAAATCTTTATTTTTCGTCATAAATTATTATTAGTGATAAAATTTAAACCGTTAGTAAAACTCTTGTCACTAATGCTCTCAATGACAAATTAGGTACTTGTCACAAAAAATAATTTTATCGTGATAACAAAAAATTGATATTATTAACAAGTTATTTATAACAATTTTATTCGTCACAAAAAAATATTCGTCATAAATGCAATTGTGATAAAAAATTTAGTCATTAATTATTAAAATTGATATTAAATAAAAAAATATACTTTATAATTACAACACAAATATTTTAACAAAAATTGTCA